GGACTAGATTTGCAATTTCCCCAATTCATGATTTATGTTCAGTCTATGAATTTCAGCTGCATTTGAGGATGAGACTAGAGAGAAGAATCTCTTCATGTATGTGAGATCTTAAGGAGACATAAGTGATTCAGAGACCAACACATGGGGTTGGGTTTGTTGTGTGCTTATGAGCATGTGTTAGAACCATCGAGAGATCAAGTTACTGTTAGGAACTAATTCTTGCTAATACTAAAATCCAAATAAGACCAGAAATTATTTGAGGTACCTAGGGACTGGTGCTGATGGGAAATTTCAAAATTCACTGAGAGTCAGGCTGAATGACCCATGTCGAAACAGGATCTGGAGCTTAGTATAGAGTGTATATTTGGTTGTAAGAGGGTGATGAAGGGGAGCCAAAATGGAGAGCATAACCCATCTCATCTCAGAAAGCTTAGCTGGAAGAGGCACTTGGCGTATCTGGCTTCCCTCTGTTTCTGAGACACTGAGTATGATTTTAAAAAGGTGTAGGGGGGAGCCTTCCTTCTCTGCCTTGTGAAGGCACAGCTCCTGATTCATTTCTCCCACAGGAAGGGCTATGTCTCACTGGAGGACTATACCTCATTCCTGATTGACAAGGAGTCAGAGAACATCAAGTCCAGCGATGAAATAGAGAATGCTTTCCAAGCCCTGGCAGAGGGCAAGGCATATATTACCAAAGAAGACATGAAGCAGGTCCGATTTTGGTTGCTTCCACCGCTACACCGTCATCCTAATCGGAATTTTGGTCATCTCAGGCCTGGTGGCCTACTTTGAAAAACCCACCCACATTTTTTTCTAGACCTTCCCTTGCACAGGTTGTAATTTGCTTTGGTCACCACTTATTTTGTCTTGACCCAACTCAAAAACTCACCGCGGTTCTTTATCAAATCTGAGAGTCAATTCAAAATCCGCAACTCAGTTTTTAAGGCTATTTCTTATCCCTTCTGTTTAATGAAACAACCTTAGGGAATGGAATTCATAGAATAGTCAAAGTGAGTAAGCTCTCTTTTTCAAGAAAAGGTTGAGTTTAACAGTTAAGTTACTCATTAGAACTTATAACTTTATGAGAAAAAAGTTGTGTGTAATAGAAACAGGGCTTGCTTTTTCCAGAGACTCTCAATCTCCTGCATTTAGGGCATAATACAGGAAGCCCCAAGGAACCAGCTATTTCAAATCCCTATAACAGTATTTTTCTCTTTTTATGCTTTCCAGGCCCTTACCCCAGAGCAAGTGTCATTCTGTGCCACACATATGCAGCAATATATGGACCCACGGGGTCGAAGCCATCACTCTGGCTACGATTACGTTGGCTTCACCAACTCCTACTTTGGCAACTAATAAGCAGCCATGGATCAAGAAAATCTTAGTGTCATGAGAAATTTACTGGGAGGTGAAGAGTACAGGCAAATGTGGAAGATAAAGATGGCTGTGTGTGTGTGTGTGTGTGTGTGTGTGTGTATTACACGTATTGCAGGATCTTAAATAATCTCAAGGGTGGGTGATAGAAAGGTTAATAGAGTTGGAGGAGTGGAAGCTATTTTATACGTAACTAGTCACTGCTGAGGGGTGTCAAGGTTTCTATTTTTATTTGTTCTGTTTTGCATATCATTATCTTTTGTTTTATTCTGATTATAGAATAAAGTACTTCTTTTTAAAAATATTTTTGGAGAAAAGTTAAGTAAAATGTTGAACTTCTGTATTTCTGGGAAATGTACTCATATAAGGGTGGGCAGCTAATTGTACCATAAAGAAAGGCCATGGTAGAGTAGATAAATAAAACCCAAGGCAATTTGCAAATTATTTTTTAAACTTTGGAATATATTTAAATTTAAATTTGAAAATGAGGGTATTTGATATTCTGGGCAACATCAGTATTTTAGTTTGTACAATGAAACAACACACAGATCAGTAGAACACCAGCTTTATTCTTATTTTTTCCATACTTCAAAATTGTAGTATATGTTGTTATTCTCAGAATGACAAAATTCCAGCAAAGCAGGGCTTTCTAGTGTCCCCCAAGCTTCTGTATTTTCTCTTAAGTTTTAATGTAATAAAATAATACTTCCATATCCTATTAAAGTAATAGTTAATATAATTATTTTTTAAATTGATTTAAAGAATTAATTTAAAAAAGAAGATGTGATGCCATATTCAGAAACTTTCAGGCCAGGTTTACTCTGAACAGATTTACATGCTGAATTGATTTATAAAAGGTGATGGTGTCATTTGCTGGTGAGAATTCTTAGATCATTTACTTGCTGTTATAAAACTCCTAGCATTCTGCACCAATAGTTCCCACTTACCAATTCATTAATGTTGCCACTTGATTACCATCTTAAGTACAAGTCCCTTCCTCCTCATAGAAATTCATCTGTCCAGGGTAAATCCTGTCACAGGAGCCTTTTAAAAAATTGGTTAAAGTTAAAAAGTTATCATTAATGCTAACAACATACAGGTATTTTAGTGATGCTTTTCTTACATAGTCAAAGATTATGGAATGTAACAAGCAGAAAGTATTTTCAAAATTAATGTTCAGAAATGTCTACATTGTTTTATTATGAGTTACCAAAAATAGCACAGTTAGAAAAGATATAGGCCATCAAAAATTAGTATTGTTTAATATCACACTTACCACATATGGATAGTCTAAAACTATTTGTGCTGAAAATAATCATAAGCAAAGGTGGATGTGGTTTCATTCCCCCAATGCTAAGCCTGCCAAAATTTTTCAAAGCCTAAATCGAATTATTAGTCATTTAGTGGGTCAAATCATGCTCTTAAAGGCAAAGAATAATTAGCTTCGCCTTAAAAAAGAGATTGGTTAATATAAAGGCTACAAAACCAAAATAAAAATAACATCAGATGAAACTGTCATAACTGTATATAGCTTTTTCTGAAATCAGATCTGTCCACCTGTGCACTCACGTAAAAAATAGTAATATTGCAATCTGCATAAATAACCTAATAGGGGTTATAAGTGTTTGATATATAATATGATAATTAGAATTTGCATCAAATTTCCCTCTTCCTCTCAGAGTTACGTGCCTCCTAATTAACACTTATCTTTTCTTGACCTTCTACCAACTTTAAACTGAAATCCTTGCCTTATCTTTCTAATTATCTTCTTAGTTAGTCAGGACTAGATTTAAAACCTGACAAGTCTGACTCCAGAGTTTCTGGTATTAATTGGCTCTTTCAAAGGACCATGAGTTGGGCATATGTGGCCATGTTCATAATCAGAAGGACCTTTGTTTTACTGTTCATGTGTACCTGGAATAAGACTTTGCCCTTTTTAAGCACATAGTCACATACTTAATCAAGGAAGAAAATTTGATCACCAAACAAGATTATGAAGACTGTTTATGTTGTCCCTATCCCAGATCAATTCTTTCAGGGTCTGTATAGATAGATCCCAGAAACACCTATTATAAAAAATCCCTCCAGCTGATTTTATACCCTTCCATACTTAAGACGACTACATGTGGAAGTTAGACCTTTAACTATTGCTTAGCAATTCTTGAAATATCTTTACCAACCATTGGTCAGCATGCATTTATCCAATGTTATGCTGAGTGGACTGAACACATGGCCTCAGTGCATTGAGGGATTACTTTTCCCTGTGGTGAAAAGAACCCTAGAGCAGATGGTCTTTCTCCCCTGATAAGGCCCTTTTGGCTGTCTGGCTATTTCACCTACTTCTCTTTGTCCTGGTTCTCTTCTCTGAGATCTAGCTTCCTTCCTCTCAAATTTGGTTTTCATCCAATTTCTATTAGAGGATATGTTTCTTTCCTGAGAGCATGGAAAAATGTGGATTTCCTTCTGAAAAACACCTTCTCAACCTAAATTCTTCCCTTGTTTCTCAAGCCATGACTCACTTCTATCTCACTGCCAAATCCTGTGACTCCTACCTTCTCAAAATCTCACGTTTGTGATTTCCTTCTGTCTCTGGTGTGGCTATCCATTTTCAAGCCTTTCTGCCTTTCTTTAAGCTGATAGCAACGGGTTTCTTGCCGATCTCCTTGCCTCTGGTTTCTCTCTGCTGAAATCTATTATCCCCTCTGCTGCTGGATTAATCTTCCTGAATCCCTTCCCAAATGCCACTCTCTGCTCACAGTTTTACTGTGCCTTATCTCCTATGGACAAAAGGACTGTGTCTGAAGCAAGGTATTCAAATTCTTTCAGCAAGTAAGTCTTGACTCAAACTAACTTCTCTGCGTTATTTTTGAGGCGTTTCCAGCCCCTCTGAACAACTCACATGCTCTAAAGCGGGCCTATATTTTCTTACCATCAAGCCTTTGGCTGTTATGTTCTCTCTTCTGAGAATGTACTTTCTCCCCAGTCAGTGCATTCAGAACTCACTCATCCTTTAGGATCAAGTTCAAGTACTCTTTAAAACATGAAGTCTTCTCTGATCCTCCACCTAGAGTAGACTCTCCCTAAACTAAAAGCCAGTATCTTTTTCCTTCACACATTTTAGTAATAGCAACTGGAACTTACTGGAAGATCACTGTGATCCAAGGGTTGTGCTAAGTTCTTTGTATTCATGATCCTGTTTAGTCACCAACACAAAACTGGAGTTATAACCATTTACAGATAAGAACTTTGAAGATAAAAAATGTTAAATAACTTTCCTAGAGTTAGTTACACAGCTAGCAAGTTGAAGAGTTTCCATTCAAACTCCTGCCTGACAGTCTCGTGAGTTCATTACATTTTCTCTAATAATGTCTGCAACTATATATAACACATTGTTTGTAGAAAGTGAAATAGGCAGAACAAATAGTTCTGCAATAAATTCAAAAGGACAGTGTCTAGTTTAGTGAATGACCCAAATGAGGTGGGTCTCTGACATGCAAGATTCTGAAGCTACCAAAGAGCATTAAAAATTATCAAAAAAAAAGGAAATAAATATATTTTCTGAAAGATATACTACCCAGCTTGGAAAATCAATGAAAACAAAAAGGGTAAAGTAATAGAGTCAGAGATAGTGAGGACAACTATATAAAAACATGATTCCATGTCTTTGCTACTGTCAACAGCACAATGATGAACCTATAAGCACATGGACCCCACTGTGTATAAAATAGACGTTGAAATTTTAAAAATATAAAAACATAAAAAGACGAAAGACACCCAGTAGGCGTAAGAATAATCCACCTATTCATTTACCAAAGCATTAACCTAACCTGTCAAGCTGATATTCACCAGGTTTCAAGTCTTGGAAGAACATTACAGGTCAAATAGTCTAATTATGTCATGATTTTAGAAATCTCTGCAGTATCCCTGATAGGCTCCTGGCAGCCCTGCCTTGAACTTGAACACTCCAAACTTCCCTCATTTTGTTCAGCTCAATTAAAAAAATTCTTAATTAACTTAATTAAATTTTTAATTCTTAATGGGTTTCAGTAACTAGGGGTGGCATCTAGGAGGCTGAAAGTTAAAATTCAGATTTGAGGCTCATTTTGACTTGTGCACAGTGAGCAGAGCAGGAAGCCGGGAAGGAAGGGTAGCAGGCAGGATAAGGCTCTTCCAGAGGATTGGCAGTAAGAAAGCTTTGGCCTGAGGCCTTGAATATCTGACCCTTTGGCTTGGTTTCTTCGGAAGAAAGTGTCCTATGGGGGTAACCTTCATCCTTTACCAAGCAATCTCCCTCTGAAAACATTCCTCAGAGCTGTCTGTACAGCCCTATTCCTTAGACTATAAACAACGGGGTTGAGGAGAGGGGTCACTACAGTATAGGTCACGGCAATAAGTTGATCTCTCTCAAGAAAGTAGCTGGCTTTGGGCCTCAAGTACATGAAGGAGGCACAGCCATAGTGAATAATGACCACTGTGAGGTGTGAGGCACAAGTGGAGAAGGCCTTCTTCTGCCCCTCAGCAGAGGGGATCTTCAGTATTGCTACCAAGATGTAGGCGTAGGAGATGGTGATGAAGAAGAAGGAGACCAAGAGGACCAGAAGACTGAGGATGAGGATTCCCAGCTCACTCAGGCCTGTATCCCCACAGGCTAGGCTCAGCACTGGTGGCGTGTCACAAAAAAAGTGCTGGATCTTATGGGAGCTGCAGAATGAGAGGTGGAAAATAACCAGTGTCATTCCCAGTCCGAAGAAGTATCCACTCAGGAAGGAGGTGCCAACTAGCTGGGCACAGAGGGTGGGATTCATGCGGCTGGCATAGTACAGTGGGGCACAGATGGCTACATATCTGTCAAAGCCCATGGCAGCCAGAAGGAAGCAGTTAGTACAGGCCCATGAGGCAGAGAAGAACATCTGGGCAGCACAGCCCACATAGGAGATAGCCTGGTCCCCCATAGCTAAGCCAGAGAGCATCCTAGGGATGATGCCCAAAGTGTAGCAGGTCTCAGAGAAGGACAGGCAGGAAAGGAAGAGGTACATGGGTGTGTGCAGATGGCTATCCAGCCTGATGACTATGATAATGAAGACATTGCTGGTCAGGGTGATGAGATACAAAGAGAGGAACAAGGCAAAGAGCAGGAGTTGCAACTCCCCAAAACTGGAGAAGCCAAGGAAGACAAAATCTCTCCAGGAGGTTACATTGGTCTGCCCCATTCTGAGAGACATCCCTGATGGATCTGTTGATTTTTTCTGCTTTGCCAGTAGGTGACTAGCTTCTTTAAAAGGTGGGATGATATGGATTCTTTTTTTCTTGTTCCTGTTGTAACTTAAAAAGGAAGTCCTAATTTAGATCTACTCAAACTTCAAAAAGGTATTTGTTAAATTGGACATGAATGTATGGATCCATTCTCACATGACTGTATGTGCCTGTACACATACACAAACAATCGCACATATTCATGTGCACATACTTGCACACAAACATATATGACTACATATATGCAGATGCATGTATGCTTTATAGCATTCACACATAACTATGCATATATTACATATTTAAAACTACACATTATACATTTACCATTAATGGCCATATTCACAAATATATCAGGCATTCACATACGTTACAAATATGTATTTATTTAGATAGCATGCAAATTCATAGAAACACACACCACATATACATTTATATCATCTTTACACATACTCTGTCACATAAGAATACACAGATGGACACACCCATATACATTTATATCATCTTTATATATACTCTGTCACATAAGAATACACAGATGGACACACCCATATTGCTTGTTAGAACTTGAGGGGGAGGTGAGGAGACTTGATCTTGATGGATTTTGTTTTATAGATCAGGTAACAAAGACCAAGGGAGGTGAAGTGACTTTCTTGAAGTCACACAGAACCAGGATTAGAAAGCAAGTATGGTGAGTCTTAATCATTATTTTCCCCATACAATGATGAACCTCTTTAGAGACAATGGGGCCCTCACTAATATGAATATAGAATAAGAAATAGCTTGCTAAACAATAACCACTGTATCTGTACAACCCCTCTTCCAAGCCATTTTACCCTTCCAAATTCCTTGAGCAGAGTAGGGCAGGCTCCTTTTACCTGTAAATCTATATTGAGCACTGAAGAAAAAGTCAGGGCTCAAGGCAGGTTGTGCAGCAGGCATCTCTCAGCCCAAAATTCAGGTATTGCTGCCTCCAAAAACTCTACTGTAAACCAAAGCATAGCAGATCAGTCAAGGGAGGGTTCTCCACACACCTGAAGAGGCTCACACTGACCTGAGGAGAGGCTCAGAGAGCAAGCCCTGCCTTTTAGCTCCCATACACTAGACTGCCTCACAGCAGGCTAGCCCCACAGAAGAAAGACTTGAGATGCATTTTGGGATCTCCTATTCTGAGCAGTGTGATGTCTCCAAATGATACCAAGAAACCTTTTCACACCCCTAGCTCCAGGTGGTGAATCATATCTTCTTCCATCCAAACAGCCTCTCTCGGAGGATTCTCTAGTCCCAGTGGGTGCTGTCTCAGGAAGCACATCTAATTGTGTTTTCTGTCATTAGTTGGGAATATCCTTTTGGGGAAAGCAGAGAGGGGAATGTGAACAAGAGATACTAGGATCATGATTCAAATAATTGGTATGGTATCATGTGCTAAATAGTACATTAATTTTTTCACAAGATAAATCTCTTTTAAAATTTACAAAAGTGTAGTGAGAGAGTGTTAAGAGTTACACTTTATAGAAGTGTAACTGAACCTAATCACATTATAGAACTAAGGATTTATGCTTATAAATGTACACTATAAGATGTATAATATAAAAATAAACAAGAATTCAGTTGTTCCTCCACTGTTGTCTCAAGAGCTTGATATAACTACTTTGGATATGTGTCTGGTTTCAAAGTCATTCTGAAGAAAATCCTGATCTCTTTCAGAGTCAGTTTCTGCCTGTATCCTCATTTGTCTATTCCATTTTTTCTCAGGTGCATCATTTTAAAAGCAACTTTACCTTATTTTCATTATCTTCCTTTGTTTCCACAATGCTGCCATATCTGCACCCAGACATGTAATATATTTTCCACCTTCAGATTGTTTTGAAACCTTAAAATGTCCCAAAAGTTTACCTAGAATTAGGTTAGTCTGACTTGTCACTCTTAAAATGCATGTTCTCTCATATACTAATGGTGTAAATATTTACACCTTCAACCTACCTCTTCACTTATTCACTGATTCAATAGAAACAACAATGATAATTGGTAACATATGTTTGACATCAGATATCAATTAATTTCATTATATAAATTTAATAAGATATTTAAGGATTATTATTATTATTCCTATTTTTCTGATAAGAACACTGAGGCATGAAAAATATTAAATAACTTACCTAACATAGCCAATTGGTGATACAGTGACAAGTATACTTAAGAAGCCTTTCTTTTATTTACCATATTATTCCCAGGACACTGCTTTGGGGTTAGGAAGGTCCCAAAGATGAGTTAGACATTGGAAAAAGATAACAATTGATTTTATAACTATTTTTTGCAGTGGTATTTTAGTTGTTGGTCTGGGAATTACAGCATGTATTTTTAAGCTATTCTTCTTAAACTAAACACTGAAGTCTTTCCAGTTAAATGTAGAAAATTTGCAATGTCTTAGTCCCAAATATGTGAATCTAACACATTGTCAGAATTTTTGAACAGATATATGCTACTATAAGGAAATTAGGATCTCTCTGAGAGAAATGCCGAAAGTAATTATAAGGTGGTATGGTAAGTATGCGTTTTGGTTTAAAGGAAACTCACAATTTCCAAAGTAGCGGTACCTTTGCATTCTCACCAGCAGTTTAGGAGAGTCTCCCCAGCCTCGTCAGCATGTGGTGTTATCACTATTCTTTTAGGGTTTCTTGCTGTTTGTTCACAGTCCAGCTTTTCTTAGGTTCAAGGGGTACATGTGCAAGTGTTTTACATGGGTAAATTGCGTTTCACAGGGCACTGATACACAGATAATTCTGTAACCTAGTTAATCAGCATAATAGTAGATAATTTTCCAATCCTCACTCTCCTCCCACCTTGGACTCTCAATTAGGCCCTGGTGTCTATTTTTCCCTTCTTTGTGTCTATGTGTATTCAATGTTTAGCTCCCACTTACAAATGAGAACATTCAGTATTTGGTTTTCTGTTACTGTGTTAATTTGCTTAGAATAATGGCCTACGGCTCCATCCACATTGCTACAAAGGACATGATTTCGTTCTTCTTTATGGCTGGGTAGTATTCCATGGTATACATGTACCACATTTTCCTTATCCACTCTACCACTGATGAGCATCTGAGCTGACTCCATGTCTTTTGTATTGTGAAGAGTACGGTAATGAACATACATATGCTGTGTCTCTATGGTAGAATTATTTATATTTCATTGGGTTTATACCCAGTAATGGGATTGCTGGGTCAAATTTCTGCCTCTAGATCTTTGAGAAATCTCCAAACTGCTTTCCACAGCACCTGAACTAATTTACATTTCCTCCAGCAATGTATAAGCATTCCCTTTCCTCTGCAAAGTTGCAAGCATCTGTTCTGTTTTGATGTTTTAATTCTCTTCATTGCAGAGAGAATTAATAAATATTTGGAGTTTAGAGAAAATATACATTGTAAAATGACCTTGGTTTATGATGCTTTTTAAAATGAAATGCAATGTTCACTTTTGGATGAGTCAACTCTCTGTTTTTATGACTGTCATAAACCTAACAGTTATTTCCATTAAAAGTAAATATGTGAATTTGTGTTTGAGTTAAACAAAATACTACATATGTTAGTTCCTAAAAAGACATATGTTCTTTGAGACAGGTAAACTGCATTATAACTATACCTCAATCGTGTCTTATCTATGAGTTGGTAATCTTTTTGATGCTAAAATCTTGAAATGAGATGATTGTCAGAGTTAGATCATTTGTATCTGATATTCAGACAATTAAATGATATGAAGCTGGAGCTGTTGGCTAAACTGATAATTCGATTTTTTGTTAAGGGCTCGTGCTTTAATGGAATACTGAAAACACATATCACTCATCAACTGCCAAAAATGTTCACTTCTTTGATAAACATGTTTTTCCTATAGGTAAATGTCACTTTTTCTTGCTAATTTTAAGATATTTTTGGCTTTGGTTTTTTGGAAGTTTGACTGTGATGTGTCTTGGTGTGGAATTATTTGGTTTTTTCCTGTTTACTATTTGCTCAACGACAACAACCAAAAAAAACTGGAAAGAAAAAGTAAATGAAAATTTTCTTGGTTCTTAGCATGATGAGGTATTTTCTATTGGAACCTGAGCATTTTAGGTATCATGTTATGACTTTGGATCTCATTTAAACCTTCTGTCTTACCTGGCTGCTTCTAACACTGCTCCAACAGGGGCAAGTGGGAGTGCTGATGTTGACTACTAAATTAGGCTAGAAGTCCAGATTCTCCACTCAGCCTCCATTGACTTCAGGGATGCTGAGAGCATCGTCCTTACTGCCGGGCTGGGTGGGATTTCCAGCTCCCTACTGTCTTTTGCTTACACTACCTTGATCATTCTGAAGGAGTGCCTCTTTGGGGCTCCCTTAGCCTCCACTGCATCACTGAGGAAGTGGTGAAAATCCTGACTCTGCAGTCTTTGATACCATGGGGTGCCTTACTTCTTCTTTCAAGTGAGGGTAGAAATTCCAGTTTCCTGCATGGTCTTCACAGACACCTCTGAGGGAGATGGGGGCAAGAGGGAGCTTGTTATCAGTCAGCAGAGACAGCGGAGACCCTAGCTTCCTGCTAAGCCTTCTCTGCCACCACCCCGCAGCAAGTACATTGAGGGACCTTGTTACAGCCTCATGAAGGTGGAAGTCTAGACTCCCCACTTGGCTTTTTGTAACACAGGGTTATGGTACTTTCTGTGGTATTTAGCTGTAGTTAGCAGTTCCTCTTTAAAAATGTTATGTCTTAATAGGGTGTCCCCTCCTGGTCTTTGGCACTGGAAAGCAGACGTTTCTTAGGCTTGAAAAGCAAAAACAAAAACAAACAAACGAACAAAAACTATACTCATTTGTGTATCTGGGTTGCTGATTTTACCACCTCACAGACTGAGATATATGAGGCAACAAGAAAATTCAGGATACCTACCACTATATTTTTCTAATACACACACACACACACACACA